AATGAATATTTCTCTTTTTATTTACAATCAATCATATTAACTACATTCTCTTTCATACAACCTCATATGATTCTTTCCAATTGTTGACTGAGACAATATCATCCTGATTTTTACATGTTCTCACAACTAATTTTAACACCTGGATTGGTCAAATTAAGAAGTAAATGAAGTACATTGATTTAAATCATCACAACTTCTTCCAACATTAAAGATCAATGCTCTCAATCTTTGTCACACCAACAACAAGTCTCAATTAAAACCAAAAGTAGTCTCAAACAAAAGATAAAAACTCATCTCAAGTCATCCACCAAACTCTTGAAGTTTCTTTGAATCTCTTCTCTCTTACAACACTCTCAATATAAAACTAGAAATAAAGAAAAAAATAAATATGTGGTGCCTGAAAATCTCTCCAACTAACTCCCCAATTTTTGAACATTCAAAACTTTTCCAGTACTTTCAGGACCTCTTTCAAAGTCCCATTATTCTTTTTTTTATAATTCTCCAAAAGGTGCCTTGGTATCTCTTCAAAATGTGTCTTGATTCGATGTATTTTCCCAAGAAATGCATTCTTTCGCAATAATTTTCGTCCATGGTGGTTGTAATCACCTATTAAGCCAATAAGTGCCTCAAAAAACTCTTCAAAATTCGCAAAAATCGAATTTACTCATTCAATAACTGCCACTGACGCTTAAGCGAGGGGCCTCTGGCGCTAAGGCGTGACCTTCTCTGTTTATCCGACGCTTAGGCGTCAAAACACTTTTACACATTTTTCACATATTTGCTCCAAATTTGATCATTTTTCACTACTTTAAACATTTTTCATCTTTTTACTTGTACTTGAAAGAAAAACACAAAAATATCTTTCATTAAAGTGCAATATCTCAAAAATATGTATAAAAATGTGTCTAAAAATACTATATATTTTAGGCGTATCAAAATCCCCCAAATTTAAAATGTTACTTGTCCTCAACTGACACTTCAATCTTTAAAAACTAAATATGTATGATATTTATATGAGTTTCTTTAGGAGTTACTAAAATTTAGATTTAGAAATATAGTAGTCTAATTTAGAAAAAATATTCAGTAAATGAGACCAACTTAAAGTTTAGAAATTTTTACTGTTAAGAAAGATGAAAATATAAGTTCATATCTAATTTAGAACTATTGTAAATTTTCCAAATTTAGAATTTAGTTCTTTTATTATCTCCACTTAAAAATTTTTATTAAGAATAATTTTACTTACTATATTATATCTGTAAGCTTAAGATTTTCTTAAGTCTTATACTTTAAAAAGATCAAATGTAGAACCAATTTTTGATTAGACACTAATTCCCATGTTTTTCCTCCCTTATATATTTTTTTCTTTTTCTTTTCCTTTTCTCTTTTTTTTCTTTTTATCTTTTTTTTTTTCCTTTTCTTTTCTTCTCCGCTTGCTTGTTCTCGACTTTTCGATTGTTCTTATGTCGTGAAAATCGAAAAGATGGCCTAAAATTCTATAGCTATTGTGCTGATCGAACCATTTTAGACGAGAAAAAAGATTTAAGAGTAATAAAATTATATTATTAATGTGAATTCTATGATTAATAAATAAATATTACAAATTTTTATAATGATTTATTAATTAATGTTAAAAAGTTTGACTGGTTGAATGTGCTTGATAATGATGTATCAATTATTAAATTAGGTTTATCAATAAATAGATAGTAATACAATAACTATATAATTAATAATTAATCCTTAAATATTATAGATATAGTAAATTTACTATTAAATCTATGATTCAATAAATTCTATGTAATCAAAGTTTATTTAAATATTATAGATATAGTAAATGATATTGGGATTTATGATATATGTTATCTTCGAGTTTAATATTAAACATTCAATAAATTACTTGTTGAACAAAAATTAGACTATTTTTATGTTTGTTTGTTTATCCTTTAGACTTTTAAGAAACATTTAAGCTTTTTTATTTACTAGTTTAAACAAACATGATAAAGTATTAATCGAGTCTAGTTTGGGTTATTGATCGAGTGCATTGGTTCATTTACAATCCTAACGCTGGTGTTGATTTCACTGAATCGACATGTCTCTTCTCTCTCTCTCACACACACCTGGTTGATACTGGAATTTAACACACGTAAGGGAAGTACATATTATTACTGAATTCGAAGTCTGAAATTACTACAAATAGTAGAGAAATTTGAAATTGCATTAAACAACAACAAAACTATGGAATTAGGGTTGGATCTAGGGTATATAGGTGGTGCGAGTTAGGGTTTGAATTTTTAGGGGGGTGGTAAGGAGGTGACTACCAAGCTGTAAATGACAGGACAATTGAGTCCAGACAACAAGCAAGCAACATAAACTTCTACGGGAGGGTTGTTCTGGGTGGCGACAACAAAGAGGAAAGGGCGGAAATGTGGAAGCAATGTGGGAGAGATGTATGAAGGATATATACCACATGAAGACCGAGATACAACCGGAGCACCACTTGGAACTTTAGGATATAATCCGTAGAAGAAAAGGGAGACGCCGACAGCTATCCCAATGCAAATAACAACAAAAACTGAACCCTAAATATCAACAAAAACAAATATATATTCCTATATAACTAGGAGTGAGCCCCCTTTTAAAAAAAGGCGACACTCTTGCTTAGAGGGCCGGTTGGCTAGCCGTCAAGTCCCCTAGACCGAACAGGTTCAGGTAACGAGTGAATAGACACCCCTCGTCACTAGTGTTATAGGTAATTTTTATTTATGCTCACCCCATTATTTGAGGCTCTTTAGGCCACCTAAAAAAATAAATAGTGGTGATTGTGATATATCTCCATCATCATCATCATAGTTTCATCCAACTTTTGTTTGCAGATTTTGTACATGTAGATCAAAATAATAAAACTATGATTGTGCAGTCCCTTGAGCTAGATATGCCTTCACAAATGCAACCATTTGGATGTGATTTATTTTTCATTGTTCGTTTGAGTTTTATTTAAAAGCTTGTAATGACGTGAGTAATGTAGTGTGGTCAAACATATGTGAAATATTTTTGGAGTGGCTTGTTTTATTAGTTACCTCTCAAATGAATACATCAACTGATATTATATTGGGCCACTAGCTATGGTCTCATATAATAGATGCATTGGTAGGTATTCTATTGTGTTAAAAAACATAAGTGGAAATATTCTCTCCGATTTACGCAAATAATTAAAATATTCTCTTTAAACTTCTGCAATTTATTCTCTTCCGCACTAAACATAAAATTACAAAGAACAAGTTTTTTTCAATCAAAGGATTTAATGTTTATTCCGATAAATTATTGAATGCAATTGGTATTAAATGATCCTTAAAAATATGACAATCATGTCTCTTTATTTTAAATATTTTTTTCTGATTTCTGATCGTTACGTCTTTTAAATTTAATGCATTTCTATCTGACATTTTTAAAGGCTGCACTCATTCACACATTGCTCTTGATTGATTAAATGTGAGATAAGTTTTAACGTTAACATCTAGAATTTTTGTAGCACTTTTATGACGGAGCTGCAAATCTTTCTTTCTCTAGAACTCCTTTAAATTCATTCTTTTTTCAAGTTGTCTATTGGTTTTTTAGATTCATCACAATGTTTAATATATTTTTTAGGAGTGTAAAATATCTAGATTAGTCATATTAAGTTTGTCTTTTGACAAGCTAAATCTTAAAAATCATTTCTTTTAATTCAGCTATGATTAACAACATAATGCGGGAGTTTACCATCAAATAATATAGGCGAGTCTGATATTTTTAATTCTGTTTTTTGAAAAATGCATTATTTATTTATTTTAAATCAATGGTCCATGGGCAAGATCATCAAATAATCAAATCATGATTTTTTTTTTGTATTTTAGTATAAATACTTTTGTTAATTTATAAAGTGTGGGCAAGCTTATTCTTTTGTAGTGCTTCAGTTTGATAGCATGTAATAAACGGAGAAATCACCAATAGTTCACATAAGAGTTGCTTTTATTAAAAAAAAAATTATTTCCTAAAAATCTCATATGTAAGCACACATTTCCATAAAATTCTTTGTTCTTCTATCAATGGTTGTAGTATATATCTGTTTTTTGTATGCCATGCGCATCTCTAGAGAGAGATTGTAAGGTGTTATTATAATTTGTCAACACCAATAATGGGAGACAACTTGACCATATTGTGTGAAGCAGTCTGTACATAATTCATCTCTTAACATTTTGTGTTAAGTGATTAGGATGAGTATGGTTGAAGTGCTTATATGCTTCAGCTTTTGATGGATGGTTAATAATATTTTGTTTAACTGTTCACTCGTACCATCGCAGGTGTTCCATTTAATTGTTGATGCATGAAGTCTTTGTAGACAAATAAAATAACTTCTTACATCGGATATCCTTTTTTGTATTTTGTGATTTGAATGTATGCTCTACAAAATTTACATTTAATCTCTATTGCAGCATGCTTGTAATATAATATATAGCCATTAGCACAACAATATATTTTCTGTGCACTTACACTAACTTGTGAATCAAGTCTTTGTTCTTGTCTAAAAGAATTCATATCACTGAGCCTAAATTCATTATAAAAATTAATTTTTTTTTTTTCAAAGCATGCTTTCATTTGAAAGCGAAGAATAGACCCTGTTCATGGCAATCATTATGAATCTTATAATATACCTGGAACCTTATTGCCTCTAATCTCCAGAAGCAGATATATTTTTGGGAATTTACATGCATACCACCACCCAATTCCTATCTGTTTACATATCTAACACCTAAAGTTAAGCTTTTACATTTGCAATCTTTCTATCAAATCCATATACCATCATTTTAACTTTTAAAAAGTGAGAGGCACCTTTTCATACATAGGTGTGGTTGCATGCATGTAAAAATCGAACTTTAGGTGTTAGGAATTGAGTGGTATTTATGTGAATCTTCCAATTATTTTCTCTTTAAAAAACTAATTATTTTCCTTTTCATCCAACCATACAGCTAGAGTGCATCGCATGCGGCCACACATGGTATGCATCCCGGGATGCCATTTCATCGCTCACGATCGATACTCCCAACATCACCGGGAATGTCGGCACCGCTCCATGGGCGACGGCCAAGTTCGAAGAAGTGCAGAAGATGCTAGTAAGCCCTCGTGACTCTGAGAAACCTGCTTCTGATCTTTTTCAAAAATCAACCGCTCCTTATATGCCTGTGTTAGAAACCCAAAAATCTTTCAATAGATCAAAACCTCAAGAAACTCATGATGCTTCGGCAACTATAGAACACTAGTGGTCTGCATATGTGTGCCTTGCTTACGAATTATGAAGTATTTTGCTCTTTTTGTCTAATGATAGGCTTCTCTTGCATCATTTTGTTTGCGTGTAAAATTTAGAACTTTTGTGTAATTTTCAATGTAGGAAAAGGGCTAGTTTCACCAAGGAACCCTTTCATTTTGTTGTAAATATACCCTACGAGGACGCTTTTTCTAGAAAGCTAAGCACTTTTGATTGTTTTATAATATTTGCATTTACGTATCTAACACCTAAAATTTAATTTTTACATTTATACATACAAAATCTTTCACATCACAAAACATACTGCTGCTGTGACTTTTAGCAAGAGAAATGCACCTTTTAATGCATGTAAAGGCGATAAATATGTAATAATTGAAATTTAGGTGTTAGATGTGTAAATACATCAGAATTGAGTGGTATGCATGTTAATCTTCTTACGATTTTTCTCCTTTTACTTAATTGGGTTTTGTGAGTTGCAAGGTATAAATATTAATAAGATTGGTGGAAGTATTTATATTATCATGCTTAATAGAGGTGGGGAGGTCAAAACTCTAGTCATACAACTACGTGTCACCTCCCAAAAGAGCTCTTCGGGGTGGTGGGCAGTTCAAAACTTAAATACTGTTTTTCGGTCCTACACCTAGCTAATGTGAGACTTTTTGTCCGTGACATTCTCCTCCACCCAATCACGTGACACTCGTCACGGATCGGCTCCACTGAGGGTCCAACTGGATCATGGAGAATCCACACACTTGACAGACAATAATTTGCTCTGATATAACTTGCCACCTCTCAAAAGAACTTATCAGGGTGGTGGACAACCCAAGACTTAAATATTATTTTTCGGCCCAACACCTAGCTGATGTGGGACTTTTTGTCCTTGACATTCTTCTCCATCCAATCACGTGACGCCTTCGTCACGGATCGGCGCCACCGAGGGTCTTATTGGACCATGGAGAGTCCACACACCTGACGGACAGTAATCTGCTCTGATACCACTTATCACCTCCCAAAAGAGCTCTTCGAGATGGTGGGCAGCCCAGGAAGGACTTAAATACTGCTTTTTGGCCCTACATCTAGCCGATATGGGACTTTCTGTCCGTGACATACAGCTCAACTTGAGCTGTAAGAAACTAGCAAAATTGAGTGGTATGTATGTAAATCCTCCTTCATTAATTTGAATATTATTTTAATAATAACATGCATTAAAATAAGTCCACCATTATATATCATTCCTAATTCTCTACCGTTCAAAGAAGCATTAAATATTGAAATAAAATAAAATAAATTATGAAAATATTTTGATGGCACATACGTGCTCCGCATACCCAAAAAAAAAAAAAAAAAAAAAAAAAAAAAAG